TGACCGAAATTGACAAATTCGGAAAAACAGAATCGTACAAATACATAATAGCTGAGTAGTACACAACCGGCTACTTGGAACAGATTTGTGGCCACATATGACCAACGTATGGAATTGGTCCTTGGATACGAGTCACGGTAGATCAGGGTGGGCGCGAACAAGAAGTACAAATAGTGTGAGAAATCCGGGTACCATTGTTGTGGTTTGTCGAATTCTGCTTTGTGCGAATTGTTCGAACTATTCTCCTTCGCTTTTTGGAGGGCAATTTGTTTCTCGAACACCACTTCCGCGGACGAGCGAACAAACGCGTGCGATTTCATAAACATTCGCACCTGCTCGAAAGCGATGATAGCAGTACTAGCCGGAGGTAGCCCGTGTTTTAAAATGAATTGTATCGGTAGGACTATGAATAGGACCTTTTTTGAACCGGACAGGGTTGTGCGCCGGTTTGAAGGTGAGGTTGGGTGGTCAGAAAGCGAGCGAGCGAGAGAGAGAGAGAGAATTGTATGTATGATGAGTACATTTTTCTAACCTCTGAAAAATTGGACAGTCAAATTTCCATTAGTAAACTCCCTGTTCCGGTTCCATGACTTGTTTTTGTGAGTATGCAATGTAATCTAATTTGAATCTGTATAGGTTGCGCTAGTTGGATTCAAAGCCACCCGGCTCTAAGTTCATCAATTGTTTCGAAACAGCAAATCACAGAAAATTGTCTCTAAAAACAACTAATCGAGGGCGAATTATACAGATATTGTGTGAAGTGAAATTGGGAAATACAATGATCAATGTATCTACGACTGTAACAGATAATTTAGAATTCTCTGATCAAACTGACAAATTCGTGTCGGCTGTCCAGTTTCCACCTTGATCATCAATAAATTAGATCAAAGATTTAGGTTATTCCCGCTCTGGAAGATGAACAATTGTTTTCTGTGTTTCCTAATCATGTTTCTACAAGTCCCATTTTATTACATATGTAAATGTGATGAACAGCAGACGGGGAAAGCCCAATGGTTGCGAGGATCTACTGTTCAGTGATAGAAACCGGTAATCTAAGCCTCGGGATGAACCACATAAGACCACGCTAGGTCGGGCGTGGTATAGAACCGGATGACAGCAAAGCTGCCTTCCGCCAAAGTTGGATGGCGGTGGTGGAACTCGAACCATAGGGTTCAAATCACACAGATAACAGCGACTAAACTACTAAGCGTATTCAACAACTGACACTAGACCGAATGATCTTCAGTTTAATCCAATCATGAAAAGCAAGAGCAGAATACAAACCTCCACCACACATACCAGCGGGTGTAAAGAAACGTTCGGCACGGAATAAAGAGCCGGCTGCATATACCGCGCAAGATGATCGATTAGGCATACATAAATAGAGCCTAACAGAGAGAAGACTTTATGATGATTCTAAGAAAGGAGGATTTGTGAACCGTATGGGAAACGAGTTAGAATTTAATTGACGAGGATGGGGTAAGTAACATGTTTGAGGGTGACTAGAAGAGGAGTTTTAGAAGTACTGAAATAAAGAAAACCCATGTTGAGATGAGGTCTAGGCAAATGATGTATTTTTAGCATTGCGATCATACTGGCGCTGGTTTTCGAGTCGCTGTGTGAGAAAAATAGCCACGGAAACTTGCATTATCGGCGAATAGAGGGTTTTCACAAAGAAATATTAACGAACAGAAAGAAGCAAGAGGTTAGCTACAGGTAAGGATGGAACCTTGGGACATATCGAGATTCATAGGGAACTGGCCACATGGAACCCTACCGTTTCAAACCGTAATGGTTTTAATGGCAATGAGACTTTGCAGCCCCGAGAAAGAAAGTCAGACGGGGCCCAAACGTGGTTGATTTCGGCAACAGACCTGAGTGGCAAACTTGTTCGAATTCCTGTAA